AGTCAACCCTGAAATTAAGTATTTCTTTCTTTCTTTAAACTATGGGAAAGCCAAGTCTCTCAAATGAAATCTTAGTTCTCATATATAAAACTAGTTTTAAAGAATCAGATATTTATACCACAATAAACTAAGATCATTCTACCTGAAGAATTTAGAAATGTGTCTAAATAAAACTATTAAAATAAAAAAAAATTGTGTCTAAATAAAAAGGCAACTATTATTTTTGGAGATTGAGAAACATTTGAAAAAGATTTACAACAGCCATTCAAGTCTACAAAACGTATGAAGCCAGAAAAACCTTTTAGCAGCTCACTTGGTTACACCTGAGAGTGATAATGATCCTGATAGCTATGACACATGAAATATGTTTCTGTTGAGGAACCATGGACATTATTGGAAAGCTGGAAAAGACAAATTGCCCAGATCATGCTCAGCCCCGAATACTATTATTGATTAAATTCTTATACCACCTGTTCAAATATACCTTGTAGCTCATAGTTGGTCTCTATTTTACTGTTTGTTTCTTCTGAATTAAGATTAGCCTCTTGCTTCAAGTAAAATCAGGATCATTCAGGAACAGAAATGAAAAGACAACTGTTTAAAGACAACAGTAATCGGAAGAGATTAATTCAGTTTGGTATAAATAATTTATCCCTCCACTTATGATTATCTGCACAATACTTCATACTCACACTCTTACAGTGATATGTGAGGTCTGTTAGAAAGGATTTGTGACATACAAGAACATGTGAGGTTACAGAAAGAAAGAATTTCTAACTTCAGTTAAGCACTAGCTACTTGCCAGATTTACCCTCACAGAGACAGGGTTTACACTATGACCTGTAACACCTTTGAGACTGCAGCTGCACTGCAGAAATAATCCAGTTTCACATCACTTTAACTGCCATGCCTCAATGCTATGGGATTCTGGGAAATGTAGTTTTGTGAAACATTTAGCCTTCTCTGTCAGTGCTCTGGTGCCACAGCAAACAACATTCCCCAGGATTCTATAGCGCGGAGCCATGGCAGTTAAAGTGGTGTCAAATTGGATAATTTATACAGGGAGGTTACAGCCCTAATGGTATTTTCTCCAGCATATGTTTAAAAGAAAAGGGGAGCAGTGATTCCTGACAAACAGGACCTGGGTAGCATCTTAAAATGAAGGGTGACTAGAGGTCCTCCTTTTCCTGCATTTCAGCCTTTTATCCAGGAGGAAATTCAAAATGTCCTCCATTTTGAGCAGGATTTAGGCTGCATCCGCACTGCAGAAATGTTTGACACCCTTTAACTGCCATGCCTCAATGCTATGGAATTCTGGGATTTATAGTTTATTGTGGCACCAAAGTTCTCTGATAGAGATTAACAAAACTACAAATCCTGTAATTTCGTAGCATTGAGCCATGTGGTGTCCAAACTGATTACTTCTGCAGTGTGGATGCAGCCTTTGAAGCACAATGTAAATGCTTAAAGGGTTTTCCCCCCTTTTAATTTCAGCACAACTGAAAAATTAAAGGAATAATTTAAATGTAGATTCAGTCAAGGGTTTCTTGCTAGTAAAGTACTATTGTAAGTATTTGTCTTGCTCAGAGGTCTATAAGTATATTACAAACCAATGAAGCATTTTAATGAAGATAAGTTCATGAGAAAAATACGTCTGTGTCCATAATAAAATACAGTAAATGCAATATGGCTGTAAATAAACCATATGAAATGAATGTATATTTCTATTACAGTGTTTTGAGCTTTTATTTGGTAATGACCTACATTTTGAGGTCCCTTGTCCTCATTTGTGGTTAGGATATCTGGTCCCCCTGACATATACACACATTTTTAAAACCCTTTCAACAGCAGGCTGGGAATTCCTCCTAGACAGAAGGCTGAAATGGAGGACATGTCTGGGGGGGGAGAGGACCACAGGTCACCCTGTCCGCACTGCAAAGGGGGACAAGGCACTGCAAAATGTAGGACCTCTAAGAAAAATGGAGGACATGAGCAGAGAAAAGATAAAAATACTAATCTAAATATACATTCATGCTTCTCTGTCATGCTCAAAATGGAGGAGCTTTTGGAATTCCTCCTGGACAGAAGGCTGAAATGGAAGACATGTCTTGGAAAAAGCAGGACCTCAGGTTACCCTGTCCTTACTGCAGAGGAGGTCAAGGCACTGTGAAATGTAGGACCTTCAAGAAAAAATGTAGGACTTCACCAAATTAAAAACTCGAAACAGTATCTAAATATAAATTCACGTGTGTGTGTGTGTGTGTGTGTATAAAATCATGCTCATAATATGAAGTCATGCTCAAGATGGAGGACCTTTTGAAAATGGAGGACCTTTTGGAATTCCTCCTGGGCAGAAGGCTGCAATGGAGGGCATGTCCAGGAAAAAGGCGGCCCCTCTGGTCACCCTGTTAAAAGTGACTTTTGTAAACCACCCATGCACCAACCTTCATAGACCACACCAGCTGTCCTTTTGGGTGGTCTAATATCCAAGATATATTTTAAATACAAATAAAGTGTTTTTAACAAATTAATGGTGTGTACGTCTGTGTGTGGTGAGGAGGGGGTCGGCCTTGCTATTCCTTCCTCCTCTATGCCATTCCTACTCCAAGATGGTGGCAAGGAGCACTGGGCCTAACCCCAAGCCTGAGGGAAGGAATGTTGTTGTTGTGTGCCTTCAAGTGATTTATGGTGACCCTAAGGCAAAGTTTCTTCAGAGGATTAATCATTGCTTTCCTCTGAGGCCGAGAGTGTGTGACTTGCCCAAGATCACCAAAAGCAAAGCAAAGCAAAGCAGCTTATTTATATACCGCTTCATATCACGCTATGGGATGTCTAAGCGGTTTACAACTGTGAGCTGATTGCCCCCCAACAAGCTGGGTACTCATTTTAGTGACCTCGGAAGGATGCAGGCCTGAGTCGAGCCTCAGGCCTGGCTGGTACTGAACTCGCAACCTTGTGGTCTATGAGTAAATGGCTGCAGTACAGGCATTTAACCACTGCGCCACCAGGGCTGGGTTTCAATGGCTGAGCAGGGATTCAAATCCTGTTCTCCAGAGTCAAAGTCCAATGTTCAAACCACAATGTATTCCAGAGAATGTGGTGCACAGATTAGTTGATCATGGCATATAAAAC